TTTACAGACTATTTTTTTACATACTTGCACTTTACACTTAATTTATTGATTACAATCCTTTTAAATAAACATATATGTAAAAGCAAGCATGCCCGCAGGTGGCAAAGGCTAATCTAGGCGGCCATGCTTTATTGAACAGAATTTGCTTCTAATTCCTGCCATTTTTAGGCGAGTTCTTTAGTTTTGCGCCGCGGTCATTCGGGAAAGTGTGTCTAAGGTTGTCAAGATGGTGTCTTTTTTTTTACTAGAGATTCATAATTCATCCAGACAAATTACGCGTCTGATACCGCGGGGTACGAACTGTCTAACGCGCTTGAACCGTGGTACTTTGTCGCTTAGTCCTTCGTTCAAGAAGCACAAAAGCAGATAGTTGATGTTCACGTATAGTCCGTATGGCGAAGGTAACAGTGACTTGGAAACTGATAATGGAAGGCCTCTACTTACTAGTTTACGGTGGAAGGTTCCAAGGGTTAGACGTTTTCGATGATTTTTACGAGTTGTGTGCAGGAAAAGAAAGAAGGGGTATTTGTAGATTTGAAGTAAATAAGGAAAATTTAGGATGAAATATAGATTGAACATGAGATCCTTTTAGTTTTGCGTATCTTGACAAATTTAGCTAAAATTTTTCAAGTTCGTCGTTTGTAATCCGTGTCAATCTTCTTCATCCTTCGTCATCTTTGTTCCTTAATGGTTTGTTATTATCTCTTTGGTGTTTTTTTATCTTAGTAAACTACTATTTTCAGGTTTCCTTCAATTTAAAGGTAATTTTTTACATGGCCAAAATACCGTGACTGAACTCCTTAGATAAAACAGAACTTACTATTTTAAGAACGTTAGTTGCAGCAGTTATAATAGTAGTTATAACAAAACTACTTTTCACCTTTTGTCAGCTGGAAGCATCAATTCACTGATTGGCTTTTGCACATCACGTGACTAACTAATCTCGTGACCGCAAACTTCATGTTGCGTGGCCAGACCACGGAACTGTCATTATGCAAATACTCCAATGTTTCGATTGAAATTTAAATAGAGCATGTGTTTGACGGCAGCAAACACGCAATTAGCCCCCACCTATTACAGCGCCCACGCCATATGTTCTGTTCTTTTGGGCCAGTAGATAATATCCATAACAACTAACAGGTTTTCAATATCGCGAATTTTCTTGGTTGCAGTTTTGAGGTTCTAAAAGCGGCCGGTAAAAGATTCGGAAAGCTGTTTTCTGATCTATTTTCTAATCTATTTTTATTCATTGAACAATATATGCTTTGTTTAAATTTGTTTTTTTGTCTTCATGACATGGTACAACAAGTTCTTGTGTACCGAAAGGTTTTACTATTTGCCGAACTTCGTTCGGACTGAACCTTTTTCTGAAAAGTGCTCGACAATATCTTTGTAAAGGTATAATTACATGTTAACATCCTCGTGTTGCTACACATATCGGTCGCGCATCGTTTATTCTGAAACTATTTAGTGATGGCTTTCGCTATAAATATTCCTCTTTCCGTTGTAGTTTCTTGTAATGACTACCAGGAGTGTTTTTGGAGAGTTTGATTCCTTGTTTCGAGCTTTTGCTCTACTCTGCCAGTTCTTTCTGTACGTGTTATTACGCTGTTATTTCGTGCAACCAAAATATCGTTTATCATTCGTGTTGTCGCTGTAACCGAAGTACGTCATACATGTTTCATCAGTTTTTCCTGTCTGTTATTCAACATTTTTGTTTTCGTCTTCCTCTCTTTTGTGCTTTTCATTCAGGTTGTGAATAACCTCTCCCCAAAATACTATTTGTCGCCATTATCACTTGATATCTTTTAGGTAAAGTTTAGAAGTGTAGCTTCATTATTGTCGATGTGATATGAAACCGTACAACGTTTAAGTGGGCAACAGGAAAAATGCAAATGAACAGGCTATCTTGATTTTGGTCTTTTGCTACAATTTCGAGTCAATATATAGTTCAGGTTGTGTGTGCACAGTTAGTCCCCCGCAAAACTAACGTAGACATTTGCGTGTTATTTTTTTCCTTGAGGTTTAGATGAAGTTGTACTTCGATGGTGATGAGGTAGTTTTTTCGTTGGTTCAATCGGATCAGATAACGCTCGCTTCCTTAAGTAGCGGCAGTAGCGTATGTCATCTAGTGAATATTCTCGGCCTTTGACGCGCTTCTTAAACTCTTCATCCTTGTTAAAACTCCGCGCTTGAGGTTTGAAAGACACGCTTCTAGCTATAGGTGGAAGACGGGTAGGGGGGAGCTTTAGAGTCGGGCCTAAGCTGCGTTCCTCGTCGTTTAAGTCAAAATGGCTCGGTGGCGGCCCTGAAACTGGCCGTGCATTGTGATTTTCATCATCAACTGCCAGGTCACGTTGTTGCGCTTTTTCCATAGCTTGTAGTTTACTTTGCAGATTGCTGTTTGCTTTCTGTAGACCTTGTAAAGAAAATGTGATTGCTTTTCTTCCCACTCGCTTCTGTTCGGAGCTGACTGTCGATGACATTATTGGCGGCTCTGATTTGACGCTCTTGCTGTCAAAGCCACCATCTTCTTGTTCTTGGGCGCTCTTCAGGAGCGTGTCGTACACATCTTTTAAAGACAAACGAGGCTTAACTTGAGGGGTGGCATCGTCTTCGGAGTGTAAAGAGTCGGACCTTGTTAGGTTCAGTGACGTGTTTCGCAGCATTTCGCGATGCTTCAGCAGCTTGTTTCGATCATCTTGAACTCCTTTCGCCCATTTTTCTTTCTCTCTGTCCAGCACGTTCCTCACCTTCTGCCAGTTATGTAATGCTCGGTTGTTCTTCTGTTTCAAATCCTTGTTCGCGGCTTTCGCCCTCACGGCCGGCTGCACTTGTAAACTTTCCCGAAACAGAGCCGCCGCCATGATGGATAAATCAAACCAGCTTTAATCGTCTCTAATGACGTCTGGAATTCGCCTACAATTCATGTAGATACGAGGTTGACGTTAATAGATCGTTGTGCAAATAAACCCGTCGAGTGCTTATATATCACTCCCCTCGAGTCTACATGAAGTGATATTGCCTGATACGAACGAATACTTCGTTTTGATCAAAACGCGTTGCTAGGCGTCGTGGGGTAGCGCCTCATCTAACCGATAGTGAACAAAAGTGACTTCGTTTTTTTGTTCTTCCTCTTTCGAGCGTGAATTTCCACAAAGCCAAGGCTTTATGGGGCTAAATTAATTATGGTTAATCGTTTCACACCCTGGCTATAAGTCGCATTGTTATCTTTGCATACAAATTACTTGTTTTGTTCACTTCTTTTAATTTTCATCCCGACCCACAATCGTCAAATCTCTGTTTTTGCCTTAAGAATTGTTTCAAAATGCGACTCAGTTACTAGATTCTAGGTTTCTGGAGTTAATTGTCAGTTTCGTTGTCGGTAATCCTTTGATAGCCATTTTGATTAATTTTGTTAATTAGCGACTATCCGTTAAGCCGCGCGTGACGTAAAGATTAAGGGAATTTAACACTCTGTACTCTGTAATCAGAGTGACATGTCACTGAGAGTTTTGATTCGCAGTTTTCACGAGCTATTCTTATAACAGCTAGTAAACGTAAGGATTTAAGCGTACAAGCTCATTACGTGAAGAGAGTTAGCTTCACTTTGCGAGAGAAAGTTATTTCTATTGGCAATGTTATAAAACAATTGACGTCATCGACGCGCTCGAGATTTACGTAGTAGTTGCTCTCGACTGTGCCTCGAGCAACTATTAACCTCGCGAGAGAAACTTGTTTCTATTGGCAATATTATAAAACAACTGACGTCATCGACACGCTTAAAATTTTAGTAGTAGTTGCTCTCAACTGTACCTCGAGCAACTCTTAACGCTTCTGTCGTGTACTCAAAACTTCCCATAGCGGCTCCGGCCAGTAATCAAGGGTTCAGCAACCGTCCTGGCACCACTTGTGAACTGAAAGTCGAGTCTGTTTTCTAACCGGAAGACTGCACTGAATATTCACGAAAAAGGATTGAAAATGCCAATAGCCATAACAGATTGTTAAAATTAAAAAAAAAAAGAAAGTGAATTTAAAACATTTTACGACTCGAGCTTTAAATTTGGCGCCAAGAGTGAATCCCACCCAGCGGGCAACTAACTCAGTCGCTAAGTGTCGCCAGGTAAGATAATAGTTTTGTTATTCTGAACAAAATATCTCGTTCCTCGTTGAATGAAATGCATATTTTCGAGTTAAGTATCAATAGAATCTAAAACTATTTGGCATTGCCCTTATTTTTGGTAGCTGTAGTGAAAAAGACTTGTATCGTGTCGTTTCGATGGGGCAGAACTGTTTTGACAGATAGCTGAGCTGTTTTTTCACAACTGAACGATCTGTTTCCAGGCTAAAGATGTCAGTTTAATGTGTTGCATTTATTTTATCTCACTTATGAGCATATTTTTGTTCACAAAAATCTATTTTTGAGCCACGAGATAACAGTTTAATGTACTTTTCATTAATTCGAGGTTACCAAGTCACGAACTGAGCTTGTCTCCATTGAAAAGAAAATCACTCGAATAGCTTAAAAAGGGCGCTAAAAACGAGAAACATTTGAAAAGGTCTCGGCCTTTAATTTCAGTTTTCTGAAGGGATTTTTATCGAAATTCTAATCCGTGCATAGATAGTAGTGTTTAATTGGCTTTGTCATCCACCGCTCGCTGTTCTGTTGAACTATCAATAACAGAGATTAAGGACGACAGTTTAATAGCGCTGTCTTTCAATTTATCTTGCTCTATATGCCATTAATAGCAGACATCTGTCATCCACGACTTTTAATTTTCAAATCTGGGATGACAGTTTAATTATTGACTCTAGCGCTACATACAATTTTCTTTATCTTAATAATGCACACCTGCTCATGAATACCTTCTCCGCGATTCTGAAACAAACGACAATCCGTACCGATCCTATGTACTCGGTTTGAAGTTCATATCAAGATTCGCTTTCCTTGTATGTACAGAAGTGAGTGACGTGAACCGCTGCACTTCACAGCTCTAGTCTAGTTCGCAAGGCTTACTTTCTTGTTCACCGGCGTGAGTCGTCCAGACAGAAAAATAGTGAAAGTGAATTTGAGATAAAATAGTCGTACTTGCCTTAAACTATAGTGAACATCTGGTAAGCGTCTGGCAAAATTCTGATCAAAGTTTCAGAGAATCAATAATTTGAACAATTTTTACTTAAGTATTTAGGTTCTAAGACTGTTTTTGAAATATTTGATGTATATATTTATATCTACTTTTACGAAGGTATATCTCGCAATGACCTGGTGGGTTAGTTTGAATCAACAACTAAATGCATAGAAAATGGACACCAAGGTGTTTTAAGAGCCCCTTTCAAAGATAATAAATTGTTTTTTCATATTTGCAGAACAATTTTTTCTTCAGTTAAGGGAAAAAATAATAAGATTTACCAACTTGCTCTTTTGCAAATGTGATCGTAAATTTATACCAGCAGCAAAGAATCACGTCCTTAAACTAAGACCTGTAGTCCCTCTAAGATTTTTTGTAAGTTACGGGAGACTCAAACCAGGTGGCCATTGCTCTTCTAAGTCGCCGAAGTTCATGATCGTAGATCACCAACCCGTCCAAACGTTGATCGATTCAATGTCTAGTCGTATGAGGGATTAGTTGTTTCAAGCTTTGATTGTAGATATGCTCGCTTACTTTTCAAATTATACAACCTTGTACTCTACGGAATATTTTAATGCATGCCAACTTACAAATCGACTTTGTTTCTAATCAAACTTAGCTTAATCCTTGCGTCGTTGACATTTTTAATTCTCCATCGTTGTTGGCTTCAGGATGGTCGTGGGAAGACCACAATTTTAGGGACGACAATATCCGAGCGTACTCCGCGCGGAAGGACCGGTTCATGATGCCGTATATGACGGGGTTGAGCGAAGCGCTGGCAAATGCGAAACAGGTATAGCTCACATAAACTTGTCGCTTAAGCTTCCAGTCTGCGTTTATAAAATCGATCATATCGACCACTACAACAGGCGTCCAACAAGCCAGAAAACCACAGACTACCACTAGAAGGGTGTAGGTGATGTTCACCTCATCCACTGATAGACACCCGTCAATCGAGGGCTTGGACTGGCTCCCCGAGCGGATTCGAATTTGGAAGTTTAGGTTGTGTTTGCGCACCGCCAGAAACACTTTTGTGTAGCAAGTTATGATGATAATCAGTGGTATAGCAACAAAAAACAGAACTAGGTACGCTCCGTAACCTTTGTACAAGCTTTCGGCGTTGTGCGCACAGAAAACTTTCGCAGGGTGAAAGGAAAATTCATGCCCGGAAACAACGTAGGGAAGAGGCGCAAACAAAGCCATGATCCACACGAATGCTATTGTTATTTTTGTTGTCTTGAAGTTAAAGATTTTCAGATACAGCGCACGTGAACGGACCACCCGAAAATATCTGTTTACAGCGGTGACAGCTAAGGTTTGTAACGATATAGCGCACATGAGGAGAATACAGAATCCCTGGAGCTGGCAAACAAAGTTATTATACGGCCATGATCCGACGATCAGAGAGGCAACCGTGAAAGGAATTCCTAGCAAAGATAGCAGGAAGTCCGAAAAGGCCAACGTTACGATGTAAATGTTTGTGATTGTCCGAAGATTTGGGTTTATAAAGACCGCGATACCAAGGAGAAGATTGCCAGCAAAGGCGCTGAGGTTGATCAACAACATACTTAGTGATTCTACTATTCGAATGGCAGTTGTTCGGTTTTTAAACTGCTGGGCGAAGCCTTCGATTGTGGAAAGTGTTGCGTTCATGGTGAACCTTAGGATGTTCCTTGCTGAGATATCCTGCGAGATATATATATCGAATTAATACACTCCAACCAAGCAGTCGCGTTGTGGCACGATCAAGAATTTCATGAAAGTGAAGTTTTTCCTGTTTGACTTGGTTATTAATATTCGTATATTCGAGCGTGAATTATTAATGAATCGAGATGAAAGCTGTTCCAAAACTACAACATTAACCAAAACACATTAAAGCACATTTGTTAAACGATGAGGACAACTGCCGCCGCTTTCAAGAGAAGGAAATGTAGTTTGCAAATATTAATTCTTCTTGTATGTTCTAGTTTTGCTTTTTAAAACTTCAGCTATGGTGCGTTTCCATTCTCATTTGAACCAATTTCTAATTCTTTCGTCTTTCTGCTCTTCACTGCAGGGAACCGATAAACTATACTACGATAGAAAAATAAGGACTGAAATTACACAGGAAAAGAGCTGGTCTATTTTTGTTGAATTATATTTTATACCATGGAAAATGTCGCTTGAAAAAAGTTGACGTAAGCATTCAGGATAATCCGGATTCTGATGTAAAACGAGTTCAGACCGCGCGCTCGAGCAACCAATCAAGTTGCGCGATTCTATCTACTTGGATCTCACACAGAGAAAACAAATTCCCTGGTATTGCTCCTGTTTAGCCGGTCTAAGCGGCCGACTTTAGAGGATTGGAGAGAACTCGACAGAAACACAGAAACTGGTCTGTAAGACTGTGGCTTTTGCTCATTTGCTTGGTTATTAGTATTCGTATAGTTGAGGAGTGAATTATTAATGAACTGAGATCAAAACTGTTCCAAAACTACAACATTAACCAAAACACATTAAAGCACACTTGTTAAACGATGAGGACAACTGCCGCCGCTTTCAAGAGAAGGAAATGTAGTTTGCAAATATTAATTCTTCTTGTATGTTCTAATTTTGCTTTTTTAAAACTTCAGCTATGGTGCGTTTCCATCCTCATTTGAACCAATTTCCAGTTTTTGCGTCTTCCTGCTCTTCACTGCAGGGAGCCGATAAACTATACTACGAAAGAAAAAAAGGACCGAAATTATACAGGCAAACAGCTGGTCAATATTTGTTGAATTTTATTCTTTTTACCATGGAAAAACGCCGCTTGAAAAAAGTTAACTTAAGCATTCAGGATAATCCGGATTCAGATGTAAAACGTGTTCGGACCGCGCACTAAGGCAACCAATCAAATTGCACGATTCAATTTACTTGGATCTCGCACAGAGAAAACAAATTCCCTGGTATTGCTCCTATTTAGCCGGTCTGAGCGGCCGACTTTAGAGGATTGGAGAGAACTCGACAGATACACAGAAACTGGTCTGTAAGACTGTGGCTTTTGCTCATTTGCTTGGTTATTAATATTAGTATAGTTGAGGAGTGAATTATTAATGAATTGAGATCAAAACTGTTTGAAACCTACAACATTAACCAAAACACATAAAAGCACATTTGCTGAACAATCAGAACAATTGCAGCCGCTTTCAAAAGAAGGAAATGTAGTCTGTAAATATTAATTCTTCTAGTATGTTCTCATTTTGCTTTCTAAAACTTCGGCTATGGTGCGTTTCCATCCTCATTTGAACCAATTTCCAGTTCTTTCGTCTTCCTGCTCTTCACTGCAGGGAGCCGATAAACTACACTACGAAAGAAAAAAAGGACTGAAATTATACAGGCAAACAGCTGGTCTATATTTGTTGAATTTTATTTTTTACCACGGAAAACGCCGCTTGAAAAAAGTTAACTTAAGCATTCAGGATAATCCGGATTCACATGTATAACGTGTTCGGACCGCGCACTAAGGCAACCAATCAAATTGCACGATTCAATTTACTTGGATTTCGCTGACAGAGAAGGAAAAATATATTCTTTGGTATCTCTTATTTAGCCAGTCAAAGCGACCGACTTTAGAGGATTGGGCAGAGGCAGACAGACACACAGAAACTGGTCTCTAAGACTGCGGTTTTTGCTCATTTGCGTTAGGTTCGCCGCATGTTTGAATATGGCCTACGCGGTGTCTGGCATTTCATTGTTGTCGTTAATTTTAAACTGAGATAAAGAGAGGATGAAAACAAGAAAACTAAGTCCCAGTTCAGACGTCGTGCTTCTGCCGAACTAAATTCAGTAATTAAGTTCGACAAAAGCATGGCAGAAGCACGGCGTCTGAATCAAACTTTTGAATTAAGTTCCGTGCAAGCAATTAAATTCGACAAGCCCTGCCGTGCCACACGACTCTGGCACGGCAGCGATTCAAACGTCGTGCTTCTGTCGCGCCAAAATAAATTCGTAAATTATGTCAGTGTACTTTGGCGAGATTTCGTTCCCTCGGGGAGTTAGGAGGAGAATTGTTTCGAGGCCTCAGTAAACCCTGGATTTGATTCGACTCTGGCACGACGTCTGAATCAGAGTTGATCTCTTGCCGTGCTACAGTCGAACCAAATTGCAATTTAGTTCGGCACGGCAGAAGCACGACGTCTGAACTGGGCCTAATTGTCTTATAGGTTACTATGGTGTGCTTAAATTTAAGCTGGATCAAAGAACAAGAATGACATGGAAGGTGCCCCTTGCAGTCCAATTTATTTTTGAGATGGTTTGAAGTGGATCCCTGGTGTATGTTTTGCTAGCGGATTGTCCAATTTGTTGTAACATATGATGCAACGGAACAAATTGACGATAATGGTCAAAAATCGATTTGCAATTAATTTTAGACAGACCTGATGTTTTTCCTTTAAAATAAATGAATGCACTTTCTGAAGTTTTGACTGCATAACGGCATTACTATCCTACAAAAAAAGTTTCAGATTTTCTCACATTTAAAAGTTGCTGGATAAACGGTCTCGCTCTCATTGTTTATTCGAGTCGCCTCTTTAAACGGCTTTAAAACGGGGCAATGCTTACTTTTTGGAGCCATTTGGCAAAAAAAAAAATTTGTTCGGTTGCGAAGCACTTAAAAGCAAAGAAACTTGTTTATTTGAGAGAAATGAAAATAAATCTAGATTCTGCCACTATTTTATATATTCTTGCTCACGCGTTTACTTCATCGATCATGAGTGAAATCCCAGAAGACTGGATAATTCTCTTGTCTAATTAGTCCATGCTGTGAGCTTCGTGAATCTCGCTCTTGCAATGGGGGCGCTTTAATATGGGAATCTGGGTGCTTATCAACGTAAACGTCACTCAAAAGGTAGCGCTTTTAAGAAATGGGGGCGCTTAATGGGTCGCTAAATGGACTCATGACGATCAGAAGAACACAGGCTGAGAGCTCTGACCACGGTGAAACACCTTGGCACAAGAAACATTTCTCGCGTCAAGGCCCCTTTCGACGGAAAGACTAGAATAGCTCTGGGGACGAAAAACCGCCCTTCAAGGCTTGATATGCCAAATTTACACACGTGACCAGTTGAAGTCAAAAAGGAATTTTACGATAACTGTAGAAATTCTCGCGCGCTCAGTGGCTAATTTTTATTGCCAAAAAGCGGACAGACACAAGAATTTATAATTTATGCGATGCGTTAACGAGCGAGAGTGGACAATTTGACAATTTATCGTAAAAAACAAATTGACGTCAGTTTTTGATGCGTCTGTCCTGTTAGTGACAATGAATTTTGTCATAACATTGTCAAAGTAGTCTGCAGATCGCCTCATGGATCCACAGCTGCTTTGACAATGTTATGACGAAATTCATGATAACAGAATAACAGGACAGACGCATGAAAAACTGACGTCAATTTGTTAATGTGCGTTTGTCGAAAAATTGCCAGTAAAAGTCGGAGAATAACATACTTCTATCCCTCTTCAGTTTTACATGACGAGAGACAAGACAGGATGAAGAAAGAGTAAGAGAGGTAATCTCCAATACAGGCTTTATTCCTAGGATAATCCCTCTGAAGTTATTCTCAGGTCACTTCGGTTCAGGATCTAGAAATAGCCAATCCTGGTGCGTGGGTTTGACTTCCGTGGACAGTCCAAGCGACTTTACACGCATTTTCATACTCAACGAAAACATCCGCGAAACGCGCGTGGTTACATTATCCGCGAACGAATTGGGTGCCATGTCTAAAAATAACTTGAGGGATTACCTTGAAAATAAGACTTATATCAGATGCGTATGGGAAATTAACTCTCTTATCCTCTTTTGTGGGAGGCAATTATTGCAGAGGATGCTTCGAGCTCGGAGGGATTTGCTTGAGAATCATGGCAACGTCTGACGTTTTTTTTGTTGTTTTCATGTTGTGAGTTAGTTCATTCGAAATCTTGATGAACTAGATGATTCTATGGTCAATATGCAACAAATACATCAAAACAACGGCGTTTACTTGTAAAATTTTAATTTTTATCCTCGAAAACAAGACCTATTTAGCCTCAATTTTTAGTTTTCCAGATCCTCCAAATTGAACAGGCATTTGAAAATGTAGTCTGTAGAAACGATGAAAATCTGCCTTTTTACAAAACGCAATTGATTGTACTGTGCCAAGGGAACCTACAGCCAAACTAACCTCGCTGTTTGAAATTGTCTCAGTCTTCCCCAGTCTTAAAGGGGCAGTGCCCAAGGCTGATGATCGGAATTCGAAGTTCTCACTATCCTAACATTAGTATTATAGTCTAATTCACCAGATGTACACATTATCTGAACAAAAAGCTCGGGCAGAGCACAATAGACCCAGTTTTTTTGGGGGGAAGAAGCATAGAATTACAAGTAAACAGCCTCGTTCCCAGGCATTTTTTTCCTTTCAAGTAGATATTTCTTTGCGTTTTACTTTTCTACTGCAAGATAATAAAGCGAGTTCAAAGCAAGCTCCCAGCATACCTATTAAAACACGATCTATCAGCCGAGGCACTAGCCCTTTAACCATCGTTGTTTTTTCTTTTTCTTTTTTCTTTTGGTAAATTATTATATCCAAGTTTCTCTACATAAGTTAACTATTATTGTGAAGTTCTTTTTTCACACATCGCAAAATACAACGTTCTTATATAACGCGACATCGCTCTTTTTAAACTATATTATTTTAGATGTTTAATACATTTACAACGTAACACAATTTAGTGGAAAGTAGGTTAGTCAGTATTGCTTCTGTGAGGCAAACCATGGACTCGAAATCTGTACAGACAAGTGTAGGAAGGGTTCCCATAGTTGGAATGCACTCTTAGTTCAATAAATCGAAATTCTGGGACTGTGCTGGCCTGAAAGCAGAAACAAGAAACAGTGCTGTCAACGTAAGTCACTCACAAAGTTTTATATATCACGAGCAACATCACCAAGTGTTTCCACTCGTTATGTACTCTACGCCGGAGGAATTTAAAAATGGAGCTTTAATTCATCACGAAAACGGAGCTTTTCGAAAACGCTCTTCAAACCGGAGGAATTTGAAAACGCCGGCTTTGCGTCTTGGATTCAAATTTTTTCGAGTCCTGAAGACACCCATAATTTTCAAGGGCAAGGAACTTTTTGCGCTGATACATTGATACATCGCTCGATGAGCATGTCAACAAACGTCCCTGCGTTTGTGCATGCATTGTTCTAACAAACTTGGGAAAGTAAGTACTTTCTCAAGAAAGAGTACGAGACAATAGGCAATTTAAGAAAACCACTACCGCAACGGCAACGGGAACGTCGCTTAACAAAAGATTTAATTAGGAGAACAATGGCTGTGCACGTGTGTTATAATTCTTGGTACATTTCTTTACCGTCCTCGGCAAAACAACAACGTGAGATGACCAAATTCTGCGTTGTCTGGAGAACGTGAACCACGACGGCTAATTGTTTAAAATGTTATTTCAAGTTTATCGCTGTGTCCCAGATTCAGTTTCGTGAAAGTTTTGTCAGTGATAAACAAAGTAAATGAGTATCGCGAGATTCGTAGGTAAAATATATAGTCATTTTTTAATCGGCGTTGTCTTCGCCGTCGCCGTCGTGGTTACTTAAACTCCATAATGATTTAAAGGGAACCCCATACATAACATCTGTTGAGTGACCATGATAGGTACTCGAACATGTAGCCGCTGTATTGTGTCGGGTAAACAATGATGAATCAATTTATAGGTCTACAAAATCCGTTTTCTTTTGTTCTCACCTGAACTGGGAAACTCTGAAGAGCGTATCCTTTATGATCGTAAACATACTCGCCAAGCAGTGTTTTCTCGTTACCATGAGCATCACTCCAGCCCTGTTGAATAAAGGAACGCACAGTTCGGTAGAAAACATTATCAGTGAGTCTATCGAGCTCGGAAACACACGTGAATTGTCATATCCTGAGTTTCTTACATGAAAATGTTACTCTTGTATGTCTGGTGTTTCTTACATGACGTTGTTTACTACCCGATAAACAACGGAACTTTGCACATGTGTATGTGGCATTATTTTCTCAGAATGTATGAAACAGTTCGTGGTTGTGAAGTGTTCTGTTGTATATAGATCTTTCCCGCATTCCAACAAACAATAGCGCCAAGTCGAGGTCAGGGTGGACCAAAATACAGTAAATGTATGAAAATGTCCACCCCAACCTCGCTCTGGTGCTATTGTTCGTACGCACTGAAGTGGAATGCGGGAAAGTTCGGTCTCAACATGAATGTTTCGGGGAAAGAGAAATTCCTTGAGAACACGAGCCGTATCAAGTAGGTTAGAAGTCATCTTTCTTTGAACATTATATCAGAAGTTTATCAGGCTAGAAAAGTTCATCTCCGGTACTGGGTCTTTCCCACGAACCAGCGGCCAATCACGCTTTTGACTGGCTGAAATGCAGAGGACTCACGCGGAGTTGTTTGCATAAATGAAGAATTTCTCAAGATTAAATGACACGATCTGCAGCACTATAAGAAGTTTATAATTATTCCTCCGCATTAACGTGTGTTCGTTTGAGAGTATTCGCAGTTCTTGCCCTCTTCTTGCCACAAGAAAAGTCAGACATCGCTTTTGTAGACAAAGGAACATTTAGGACTTTGACGGCAAGTTACTCACCCAGACAGAGAACTCTTTGGGAGCGCTTGGAATACTTTGATCGCCAAACTGGGACAGAGATGCTGCCATGTGCTCCAACGTGAACGAAGAAGGTTTGATCATCTGAGAAAGCTGCCAATGAACATATTCACCGTCAGATCTGATAGATTTATATTACGCGGAATTTCGTCGTAATTAAGAACATAAATCGGAAATCACATGTAAGTCAATTCAACCTTGATCACGACAAAGCCAGCACTTCCTTGAAAAGCCCAACATTCTCCAGGGTTGTTTCCAGGCTAAAGAGAAAGAAAAAGAAAAATATCATCGAATCTACATAGAGAACTACAATGGGCGACAAATTAGTTGAGATACTTTTAGAAAATGATGCTTTTCGATATGTAACCTCTTATTCTATTTAACGCATCTAGCGTTCATTCTCTGATACCCCCGGCTCGCCAATTTAATCTTGTGTAGATGCTGTGATCTGTGTAGTCTACGGAATAAAAAAAAAATCAACATTGTCAGGGGGAAGGGGGCGGGGGAATTTTTTTCCAAAACGCTTGAAAATGGAATTTTTACTGCTAAGTGTAACACTCTTGTCACTCATTGTAAGTACTGAAATTCAACAGGTTGCCGGCCCGACACTGTTTTAGCCGAAATCAAAGTTTGTCATTGAGGGGATATAGGCTTATCGTGAGACAAACGATAATACACTTTATTATTGCATCTACCACGATGAATAACAACAACCTTTTCCTCGACAAGTTTATTTTAGTCAACCAACCTGAATAACCACCCTTGGTGTCTTGACGTCATACCAGAGAGGAACACCAAACACCAACACTTGAGGAGCTCCATTGGCAAATGTAGCAGAGTGATATGAACTGTGTATCTGACCACCTATAGAGTGATTCAAAACATGTAAAACTGACAGGGGTTTCATTAAGGGCCGGGCACCGGGAAAATTGACCGGTTGTGAGGATGATTTTGCCCGCCTGTCACCTGGTTTGATTATCCAGAGGAAAGTTTTTTGTTAGCGAAAAGTTGTTCAGAAAGTTTTGCCCACCTGTGAAAACCGGTTACCCTCCTGCTGAAAATGTTAATAAAACCCCTGAAAATAAGCATTCAGAGCGTTGATTGATTGATTGATTGATTGATTGATAAGCAGTTCCAGGGCCGCTCGATTCCATTGATGTGCGGGGCCACGGGCGCGGGCGAGATTACTGATAGTCCTTTTGGTTTCCATGTTTGCCAGCTTTCAGGCTTTCACGCAACATCACTTCACTCCAGACTGAACCGTGAAAAGGGGAAACCGGGACTTTTCACAGGAAAACAGAACTGTGATAGAAATGATTAAATTGCAGTTCTAAGGTTGCTGTAAGTAGAATTTTAGCAGTCAGCACTTGACATTGATTTACAGCAAGAAAGGGATATAGTAGTATGACTACTCCAAGAAAGATGGTTTAGCCAAGGTTAACTCCTAGAATATTTCCAGTAACGTTTTATGCATGAAGGTTTAAAGGGAAACTAACATTAACAAAATTATACAACACAGCACGGTTTGAACGCTCAACCTCTGGATCTCGTATGAGACAGCGCCCAAACCATTAAGCACCATGCCTCCCATATTGTCCATGGGCGAAACTGAGACTGAGAAATACAATTTAAACAAAGTCAAACATGCACTCTACACTAACCTGAGGATTCTAACGCATAATCAGGGATGCCAATCTTGTCAGCATCCCAACGCCGAAGTGCTTGTTCCATTAATTCTCCCGATTGTTGTACATCACATTGGACTGTCTTTAAACAAAAGAGACAATGAACTTTGACAATTTAGTTGTCTATAGCTACAACAACCTGAAAACACACAGCCTTAATCCCAGGTTCTCTATTGCTTCCCTTCCTCGCAGGGAGGAGAAGGAGAGAGACCCTGGGATCAAGGTTAAAAAACAATTGTTTCACTGTGCTAAAACTAAGAGTTGAAGCACAGAACCACTATTTGTAAAGAACAATGCAATTGACCAATCAGAACTCAAGGGAGCTGGGTAAGCAATGGAAAATAAGAACTACAATAGGGTTGACAGGCCAGATATTCGTAAACCACCATCATTGCTTTGATTGGTTTACACAAAATCATTCAAAAGCAGCTTTGCATCTATCATGCATGCTAACCAATCAACCACTGAAAAATAATCAATGGTATTGGACTCTACAAACCTGATCACGTAGAAAAACTTTCTGGTAAGTATGATCTTGAGCCGCTGTCAAAGGAACAGTATGGTTTAGTATGTGTATGTGCACATGAGCTTACAGAGCAATTAACAAAGCTTGAGGTATAATCTAAGTTGACCCTAAGCTAGCCTATAAGCATTCCTTTTATGTGTAATTTCTTCAAAAAAGACTCTTCTAGTTAACTGGCACAAGACAACTTTCTCATAGAGTTGACACTAAAATTCAATCAAATTCAGTCCCTTCCTTCGGTTTCTTAACTGACCAAGCCAAATGGCACCATATGTACCCCAGAAAGTTTATTTTTCTTAATTTTTATTTACAGTAAAACTGTTTATCTTATTGCAAACCTCAAATAAAATCCATACAGAGTTTTTTTTTTTATAAAAAGTGCAATTTACAACTTAACAGTGCATACAGAGTTTTTCTTACTTACTCTTTAGACCCTGGTTTGACTGCATTTGTTCCAGTTTACTGATCCGGTTTTTTAAGAGTTTGATCTCAGCTACATCCTCTTCATGTTGTTGCTGTTCATAATTGAAATTGTATCCACAATGACTAATTAATTATATGATGCCAATTGGTTGTTGTTATTCATCGTGGTAGATGCAATAATAAAGTGTATTATCGTTTGTCTCACGATGTAGTCACTTGAGATGTAGATCGCGACGTTTCAAACTGCTTACTGCTAGTCTTCTTCAGGCGATAAGGTCGA